GGTTTTTAACAAGAAGTCGAAAATATCACTTTTTACCAAAAATTGACAAAAATATTCACCAAAATTAGAGAATTAAAGATATCATTACAAAATGAACAAATCTGAGAGAGGTCCACATGTAGTACCTATATATGTAATATCAAAGCAATTGGACTTGCGGTTTTTCAACAAGAAGTCGAAAATATCACTTTTTACCAAAAATGATAAAAATATTCACCAAAATTAGAGAATTAAAGATATCATTACAAAATGAACAAATCTGAGAGAGGTCCACATGTAGTACCTATATATGTAGTATCAAAGCAATTGGACTTGCGGTTTTTAACAAGAAGTCGAAAATATCACTTTTTACCAAAAATGACAAAAATATTCACCAAAATTAGAGAATTAAAGATATCATTACAAAATGAACAAATCTGAGAGAGGTCCACATGTAGTACCTATATATGTAATATCAAAGCAATTGACTTGGTTTTTAACAAGAAGTCGAAAATATCACTTTTTACCAAAAATGATAAAAATATTCACCAAAATTAGAGAATTGAAGATATCAACATGAAATGAACAAACCTAAGAGAGGTCTACCCAAGGTACATATACACCAAGTATCAAAGCATTCAGGCTTGTAGTTTTCAAGAAGAAGTCGAAAAAGTAAAACATTGACACGGACGACGACGGACAGTCACTCATAGATAAGCTCCGCTCGACAAAGTCGACAGCGGAGCTAAAAACAAGAATACTGTAAAAACACTCAAATTTCACCTACTCTAAAATTCTGCCACCTAAATATTTGCCGGGTGTTTGTAATTGATTGACCTACAAAATTTCGGCCTAGCCGGAGCTTGCTCACTAATTTTTACTCCAAAAATGTGTTTAGAGAAGTGACTTTCCATGTTGACTCAGGAAAGTAAGTGTAATTTTGTTTGACATTTAATTTGGGTGCAACTGTATATAATCCAACTTTTATATTTGTTAAATTTTTAATCCTACACATCACAATATCAGTCAAACAACATCGTCAAGTTTAACGCTAAAAGTTTTGCAAGCTGCAAGCAATCTTGCTAACCGACTGTCTGAATAAATCAGACCTGTTACAAATCATACTAACCAACTTACCTGTGCACCATATTTTCTCATAGCATCGTTTCCAAGCTTTTTAAGTTTATCTTTGTATAACTGTGCAGCTCGGCTGTGGTACTTTGCATTGGTATCATTCGTATTACAACCATGTTGACGGAAAAATCCAATCTAGTAAACAATGCATTTACTCTATCATAATTCAGTAAGATTTATTTGAAAAATTACAATACATGTATTCAAATGACAACATACCGTAACTGATTGTCTTAAGTTGTCTATTTTACAATTAAAGTTGCCTTGCCACTTTGTATTACCTGCAGAACACCTCCAACTGATTATTGTGATCACCATGAAAAATGATTAAATCAGTTACTATGGCAACAAATCCTGAAATATTTCAATACTGAGCATGTTTTCACAGATTGCGTATGCGGGACGCAACGACTACCGCCCTTTGATCACCATATCAAACAATTGTTATCATTGTAATCATTGTAAGTCAACTTTATTTTAGCAACAGCCTTTAAATTTGATTTCAGGATTGTTAGAAAAGATTTCTCAAACTGTTCAAATCCAAGGATCTTATGTTACTTACAAGGGTCAGTAACAGGTTTTCTACATAATATACAAAGTGTGAATGCAACTCTGAAATTTTAACAAATTACCCAACTTTGGCACTCAAAGTAAAATACTTACAGCATTGGCATTGCCACCCACTTGCATTGCCCGTAATTGAGGCCATGTCCATGATGTATCTAATTGTGTGGATCTGAAAATATAAAGAAAACAAATTTATTAACCCAAGACCCTGAGTTTCTGGCCTGTAATATTAGAGAGGAACGCACATTTTGGAACAACAAAGGTTTCATTTGTAATAAAGATACAGAGAATTCATGTGTATAATATGTTCTAAATATCTCTGCCATAAATCCCTGCTATTTATAACATTTCTAGAGATTTTATCAGTAGTCCCATGCTTTTGTCATGTCGTTTCACTTCAAAAACAGGTACAGTAGGATACATGTGGTTTTGATTTAATCTTTATTTGACTTGCTCTTTCAAAAGCTAACTTGCTGTGTACTGTAAAATACTTTATTTTAGCTGGAATTAATTTTTCGATGAAAACATTTTTTGTATGGAATTTATTTTCACTGATTTCTGACAAGTCAAATGTAAAATATAGGAAAAAAAGGTATATTCGCTGGATTTCAAGTGTATTTTACAGTAATTAAAGAAACCATGTTTATTAATTAAATTTACAGCTTGTAAACTTGACATTGTACTAGTATATGTCCAAAACAAGATTTGAAGATCTCTCAGTTTGATGTACGATAGATGCATTGAGGCTGCATAACAAGTTAGGATGAATTGAAAACATCTTTACACTTTAACTAATGAAAAAAAATACCAATTTAGACTTTGATAAAAAGTCACTGGTTACCATGGTTTCCCCGAAGTTTGTCCATAAATTCAAGCTTACAACACTTTGACAATTTACATTTTAATTAAATAAATGTTGAGTCTTGTGTTTTGTTATTAAAAATCACTGTCACTCACTTGTTGACATTATAATTAATTGTACTGTCACTTGTACATCAATTTTAAACTACTCTGAAAAGATTTCAAGTAGGTATTTTCTCTATTAATAGTGCATCTCATTATAATATGCCTTATTTTGATCATACATCTGCACTCTTGTTCATATATTCTACAATTTTT